CTTGGCTCACTGCAACCTCTGCCTCCCGGGTTCAAGCAATTCTCCTGCCTCAGCCTCCCGAGTAGCTGGGATTACAGGCCTATACGCCCAGCTAATTTTGTATTTTTAGTAGAGACAAGGTGTCTCCATGTTGATCAGGCTGATCTCGAACTCCCAACCTCAGATGATCCACCTGCCTCGGCATCCCAAAATGCTGGCATTACAGGCATGAGTCACCATGCCTGGCTGTTTTTTTCTTTTCTTTTCTTTTTTTTAATTTGAGACAGGATCTCATTCTGTTGCCCAGGCTGGAGTGCTATGGTGACATCATGACTCACTGGAGCCTCAACCTCCTCGGCTCAAGTGATTCTCCTGCTTTAGCCTCCCAAGTAGCTGGGACTACAGGTGTGTACCACCACACCCGGCTAATTGTTTTGCTTTGTAGAGACAAAGTCTGCCTATGTTGCCCAGGCTGGTCTTCAAGCCCTAGGCTCAAGCAAGTCTCCTGCCTCATCTCCCAAAGTGTAAGGATTACAGGCATGAGACATTGAGCCCAGACTCACTGTGTTTTTTAATATACATTTTCTTAATGACTAATCATGACTCTCTTCATGTGTTTATTTGCCATCCATGTATCTTATTTGAAGTGCATAATGTTTAATCAAGTTGTTTTCTTACTGACTTTTTTATTTTTTATTTTTTATTTTTGAGATGGAGTCTTGCTCTGTCACCCAGGCTGGAGTGCAGAGGATCTCGGCTCAATGCAACCTCCGCCTCCCAGTTTCAAGCGATTCTTCTGCCTCAGCCTCTCGAGTAGACACATGCCATCACGCCCAGCTAATTTTTGTATTTTTTAGTAGAGACGGGGTTTCACCATATTGGCCAGGCTGGTCTCAAACTCCTGACCTTGTCATTCGCCCACCTCAGCCTCCCAAAGTGCTGGGATTACAGACATGAGCCACAGTGCCTGGCCCTGGGTATCTCTTTTTGACAATATCACACTGCTGTGATTACTATAGCTTTATGTAAATTTTTAAATCTGCTTGTTGTTATCTATAAGATATCTTGCTAAGATTTTAATTGTGATTGATTTGAATATACAAATTAGTTTGGTGAGAACTGGCATCATAATACTGAATCTCCTGACCCAAGAATATTATTTGTGTCTCCATTTATTTAGGTCTTAATTTGTTTTTTGTTAGTGTTTTGCAGTTTTAGGCTTACACTCCTTGCACATATTTAGTTAGATTTATACCTAAGTAGGCTGGGCGCAGTGGCTCACGCTTGTAATCCTACCACTTGGGGAGGTCAAGGTGGGTGGATCACCTGAGGTCAGGAGTTCATAACCAGCTTGGCCAACATGGTGAAACCCCGTCTCTACAAAATTACAAAAATTAGCCAGGCATGGTGGTGGGTGCCTGTAATCCCAGCTACTCGGGAGGCTGAGGTGGGAGAATTGCTTGAACCTGGCGGCGGGGGCAGATGTTGCAGTGAGCCGAGATCGTGCCATTGCCCTCCAGCCTGGATGACAGAGCAAGACTCTGTCACCAAAAAAAAGAATAAATAAAAATAAATAAAAGATTTCTATCTAAGTAGTTTGTGGTTTTGGTGCTACTGTAAATGTCATTTAATTTTTAAAATTCCAATCATTCATTGTTAGTATCTAAATATACAATCGACTTTTGCATATTGACCCTATATCCTGTGACCTGGCTTAGCTCATTTAGTTTTAGAATCTTTTCTGTAGATTTTCCACATAGACAATTATGTCATTTGCAAGTAGGGCATTTTATTTCTTCCTTTCCGATCTGAGTAACTTTGACTGCTGTTCCTTGCCTTAATTACTGAGTAGTATTATGTTAAGTAGGATTAGTGAGAAGAGATTTCCTTGCCTTATTCTTGAACTTTGGGGGAAAGCATTTAGTTGTTCACCGTTAAGTGTTTATGTTAGGCATTGGGTTTGTTTTGTAAATACCCTTTATTAGGTTAAGGAGGATTTCTTCTATTCCTAGTTTCCTGAGGGTTGTGTTTTTGGTTTTGGTTTTTGGTTTTGTTTGTTTTTTGAGAGGGAGTCGCACTCTGTCACCCAGACTGAAGTGCAGTGACACGATATGGCTCACTGCAACCTCCACTGCCTGGGTTCAAGTGATTCTCCTGCCTCAGCCTCCTGAAGAGCTGGGATTTGGGATTACAGTCACCCGCCACCACATCTAATTTTTGTATTTTTTAAATAGAGATGGGGTTTCACCATGTTAGTCAGGCTGGTCTCAAACTCCTGACCAGGTAATCAGCCCACCTCAACCTCCCAAAGTGATGAGATTACAGGCATGAGCCACTGCACCCAGCCTAGATTTTTTTTCTTTTGCTTCCTTTTTTTTTTTTTTAATTTTTGTGGGTACATAGTAGGTTATATT